AATAGTAGCATGATCGTGGTGGGTGGCAGCGACATTAGTGATGGGGGTTAAGGGTGGGACATCATGAACAATAGTAGCATGATCGTGGTGGGTGGTGATGGAATTCAGTTCCTTCCATTATGCCAAGGAATGATGAATTCATTAACTTGTGGAATTCAATGTAATTTGAAGGATTCCATCCATTTCAAGAAATGAACCAAACAAAAGAATTGGAATTTGGTCAAAGGAATTGTGGTGGGTGGTGATGAAATTCAATTTCTTCCATTATGTCAAGGAAATGATGAATTCATTAACTTGTGGAATTCAATGTAATTTGAAGGATTCCATCTATTTCAAGAAATGAACCAAACAAAAGAATTGAAATTTGGTCAAAGAAATTTGTCATTCCAATTTCATCAAATTCATTCGAATTCCGCGAACCAAACGACCCCTAATTTTTTAATTTTTATAAAGTAATAGGATAATTCTAATTAATTAAAATAAAATAAAAATTATAAAAAATACCCAATTAAATTATTATGTTTAATGCTTTATTTTTATTTAATGTAACTTAAATCATTGATTCAAACGGTTGAAGCCTACAAACATTCTTGCAAATTAAATGGGTTTTCGTTTAAACTTCCATATATATATATATATATAAAAGTTATTAAATTAATAATAATAAAAAAAGGGGTGGGCTAAATGCACCCCTATGTATTGCTTAATGCATCCCTACCATGAATTTCTTCCTCACACACATCAACATCAATACATGTTTTTTACATTTCCAATACTTGAAATGACTTGATTCTGACATGAAATGGGGTGCCATTAGCACTCCCCTAAAAAAAAGAAGCCATAGGGTACTAAAATTAAGAGAATAAAAGAAGAAGGCGACGTAGCAATCGTTCATGGAAAGTGACATTGATCTCATCTACCATTATTCTCCGTGCCATTCTTCTTCTTTATTGGCTTGAAATTCTTTTTCTTTTTCTTTTTAAAATAAAATAACTTTCAATCATTTCTCTTTTTCTTATTTTAGAATCTCTTTGATCAAAATTCTAATAACATAATGATTACCACTTGTCTAAATAACCCTACATAAAATATCTTTTTTGTTTTTGTCTCTTTTACGAAATATTCTAAGAAAATTGACTTAAATATCATTTTTCACACTTAAATTGGCCCATCAACCATTCCTTTTATGAGTTTATTCAAATATCTCTACTTCTACAATATAATTACGTCCGTAATACCTGGCCCTTGAAATTACAGATTTATGTTGAATTTGAATTTTTTTCTTTATATATATTTTAACTAATATTACGAACCTGAATATCGTAAAAATAAAGAAATTTTGATAAATTAAGGAGAAAAATAATCAATTTAAATACGAAAAATATCATACAAATCAATTTGGACTTATTTATTTATTTAAATAGTTATAAAATTGGTTATTTATGATAACAACCAGTGTGCGGCGAATCTGGAACTTTACAATATTTCCAAAAAGGAACTTAAATACTATATTTTATTAGAAAAGGATTATAAAAATATTATGTATTGGCAAACGTGAGGAGGATAATTTAATTTGGTATACATCTCCCTCTCCCTCTCCCTCTACCTCTGCCTCTATATATGTATATATCTATATCTATATCTACCTCTCTTCTCACGTATACGATACCTCTCTTCGCGATTATCAAACCCACCTTCTTCAACTCTTCCTACTTTCAATTCAACATCTTCCATCCAAAAACGCCAAAAAAAAAAAAAAACCCTTCTATTCGCTCAATCTTTGGTAAGTCCTACTCTTTCAATTTTTATTATAAAAGGGATCGAAACCCTAAATCTGTTTTCTGATTCTCTTATCTTTCTGCATAACGTTCTGTGCTACCTCTGTAACTCATCTATGCACATACAGGATCATGAGTTCGTAACGACTTCTCCTCATGAATTCTTCATACCTGATTGTTGATTTCACACCCGATTTTGCTTTTGGTTCATCTAATTGTTTGTCAATTTGTGATAGCACCCAAATATTTCGATTTGATGATTTTTTTACCATCGTACGGTGTAATAATTTGATGCTGATAACCCGATAAAAGTGGTATTCGAGATATTTTTCATCATCATCGCTGGGGACGATCGATCAATCCCATACTGCTGCAAGTTTCTTTTTTTCGTTGAAATGATCAAACAGCATCAGAAGATGCATACAATATGATTTTGTGTTTTTCTAGGAGGAAATGTTTTTTTTTTTCATATTTTTCTCTCTAGGATTGAAGAGGAGAACCATAAAAAGATAGAAATTTCTAAGGATTTTTGGGGGTGTTGATAGAGGATATTAAACCATTTGCAGTTTTTTTCCCCTTACATTGATTGTGTGATTATAATTGTATTGGGCCTGGTTTAGATTTATTGTTTAGAATATCTGAAAGAGCTTTTGTTGATGATAAAAGTGCAGAATAGGATATTATGATGATTCCATTTCATTTGGGATTAATATTAATGATTAAACAAGTTAATTAGAGGTTTAATAATCAAGAATATGTTCATAATTTTACCCACCAATTCAATATTATAGCAATTGGGTTAGGTGGTAAGCCTATCCTTATCTAATATCAATATCAATGGCTAATTAATTAAAAAAATATAGGGAATTGTTATCTATTAAGCCATAGTACAATAATTACTCCATCTGTCCAACAATGGTGACTTTTAATTGTTCACAGATGTGGTTCTGCGTGTACATGACAACATACACATCATTTATGTACTATTTACGTCTATATACAAGTGGGTTCCAAAACTGACTTACTGCAAGCCTGAAAAAGTTCTAAACTTTTAATCTTTTACTGTTTCAGATATCAACAATCAAGAATTACTTATCTGAATCRCATGGCCATGGAGCAATATCTCCAGGATTCAGTACCAGAAAACAACTTTAACAAAGAGGATGATGCCTCTTTAAAGTGGAAATCCTCAACGGAATCCGTTGATGAGTCTGAAAACAGTCCTTCAGGTGGTTTCSACTGCAATATCTGTCTGGATACGGTCCACGATCCAGTGGTGACACTATGTGGGCACCTCTACTGTTGGCCGTGCATTTACAAATGGATCCACCAGCAAAGAACCACATYTGAATACCCAGATAAGAAAAATGTCCAGTGCCCTGTATGCAAAAGCGAAGTCTCCCAAAAGACCATAGTCCCATTATACGGCCGTGGCCAGACCACTGAACCATTATCTGATGAAAAAGGTCAGGATCTTGGCATCATGATCCCACGAAGGCCCCCAAGTCCCAGATGTGGTCTACACACCATCCCCACTCAGCAACTTAACCATCGGAATCATCAACAAGCACCAATGGCTATAACCATGCCTGGTCTTGGTGGCATGACCATGACCAATATGATCAATCCAACGAGCCCAACGACAGGAATGCTTGGAGAGATGGTGTACGAGAGAATTTTTGGTAATTCGCACCCCAGTTTATTTGCATACCCGAATTCATACAATCTAGCAGGGATCAGTACTCAACGGGCAAGAAGGCAGGCAATGCAGGCGGATAGATCCCTGAGCCGGATATGCTTTTTCTTGCTATGTTGCGTGATATTGTGCCTTGTGTTATTTTGATAACGTTTGAAAAACCCACTATGTGTATACTGTTGTAGGAATGTATGTAGTAGAATTGGTTGGTTGGTTGGTTGGCTGGCTATCTAACACTGTGGTTAGAATTGTTGTCACACCGAGTATGTTAATAGTTTCTTTTGCCTACTTGTGAAGTTTTATTTTATGAATTCACTTGTTGGAATTGGGTGTTTTGGAACTCTATTTGTATGCTGATAATTGATTTTTGGTTGCAAAGGAATTATTGTAGCATTTTGGTCCTTTTTCAAGGGCATGGGATTGGCTTATCCACACAGCCTCCTCCACTTGCCTTTATCCATTATTCCACCAATATATTGATAAGTTGTGTCGCATTTTAGCATTTATTTTCTTATTGTCCTTCACTCAATTATTTCCTTTTTTTTTTTAATTTAAAGATGGCAAATCGGTTATTCTTCAGATGCTCAATTACTTCTTATCTCTATCGTTTTAAGACAATGTTTGACAATTATGAACTCCTTAGAAGCTATTTTAAACTTACTTGAAATGTACTTGTACAATTCAGCAAGTCACATCTTCATTTAAATATTTTATTTATTTTTTACCTCAGTCGATGTTATAATATAGTTTTATATGATTTGGAAAAAACAATGATGTTTTTATTTTTCAATAAAACATATATTTGAAGATATCATAAAAATTTGACAAAAATATATCGATATTAGTATCAAATTAACTATTTAAAATTCCTTATTTTTTGTGTAATTTTTAATTTAGTTTTTTTTTATAATTTAATTTAAGTTCAATGACGAAGTAATTTATATTTGGTTTAATAATATAATTTTCTTATAAAGATAATAATTAATTATTTTGTTAGAATTCGATAATTATCCTAATTATATTTTAGATTTTTTATATTTTATAACAAGATGTTTATCCTCTATTTGATTATGTTTATCCGCAGTTAGTTACACGAATTCAAACATAGAGTTTTAATAAGTTGTACTTGTGCATAATTTACTTATAATCTTGAAATTTAAAGTAATATGCATCAATATACACTATTTCATGCATAAAAAATGATTTATAAGAGTTTTTGTCAAATACTTTATGATATAATATAGATAAGAAATTGTTTGAATCGACAAATGTTAACTTATTGAAACATAACTCTATAAGTTTTTTGTCATTTTCTTTTAATTATATGCTTAATTAATACTAATCGTTTTTTATTTATTATTAAATATTAAATATAATTTATTAATTAATTTAATTGTAAATAATTTATTAATGTTAATTATTAATTATTTAGAATTATCATTAATCCTATTAATTTTTATTTTTGTTTATTATTATCAATATACTTAGTTGTCAAAAATTTAATTTAATTTTTTCGTAAGTTGCATGAATATGAAAATTATATTTTTTTTAGTTTCACAATTAATGAAACTTTGATAAGTTAGTTTACTTATTGATTATCTTTCAAAGATATATTAGTTAAGTAAAATATTCAATATTTATCAACTTTATTTTTATTCATATTTTATATACTAATAATTTTAAAACCATCAAGTAATTTAGATTTATTCAAAATTCATATTTAGTTGAAAAAATTCCAAATTTATAATAATATTATATAATATGAACTTGTTACCTACCCGTGCAATATGATATGATGTGAAATTTCGAAAAGATGTAAGCGGACGTATCAGTTATTTGAAATTGTCAGACCCTACACTTTATTGATTGTAATCTATTTGATGTTGAATTTTGACAACCGTTGGTCATGCATGAGATGTCGTATTATGGAACTATTTATAATAATAATAATAATATATATATATATATATATATATATATAAATTAATAATCACATTAAATTCTATCAACTAATATATTATATTATATAATTTTTTATCTATAGTTTGTATTAATTAACATATTATATTATTAACAATTTACTTTAACTATATTATGAAATATTAGAACTGACTAATTTTTTAACATGTCATTTGGTCATTTTATAACTTTCAACTAGTTTATCAGCTAGTTTGTAGTAAGCATGATTAGTTCATCTCACCTAATTTATAAGCTATCAGATAACTTATTAAACATCAGTTAACGCATCTCCAACCAAACCACTAAAAAAAACACTAAAATGATAGGTCCATTGGACACTAAAAAAATCAACTCCAACCACAAACTAAAAAAGGGAAATTGACTCAAATGACAATTTTTCACACTCAAATTGGTCTCATAACTATTTCTCTTCTAAGTTTACCCAAATGTCACTACTTCCGTAATATCCATGTCAGTAATATATGCTAAAAGACAAAAAAAAAATCAAATTTAACCAGTTTACCATCGCAATTGCGAACCTAGGGGTTGCTATTGTGGACCTGGCCATCGCAATTGCAGATTTGTGTTGAATTTTTTTTGTTGCCTTTTTAGCTAATATTGCAAACCAGAATATTGTGGAAATAGTGACATTTGAGTAAACCTGGGACTCCGAAAGATAAATGGTTTAAGAGACCAATTTGGATGTGAGAAATGGTCACTTGAGTCAATTTCCCACTAAAAATTATAATAATAGTAAACATCTTAATATATCAATTTTTTAATCAATATATATATATATATATATATATATAATTATAAAAACTTGATATTATATTAATATATATTTATAAAGACCAACTTTATTGAATTTCAAATATAGTTGCCAACGTCTTTTACCTTTATTATAGTATTAAATTGAAAATAAAAATACCTCAAATTTTATGTTTCTAATGTTGGATTAAAAATGATGTTAGCTTATCGGCTATTTTATCAAATATGAACTAAGTTATAACCAATTAAACTAGTCTTGGTTATAACTAGTTAACTGGTAAAAGAAATACATAAAAAATCATAATTGGTAACCATTGTTGCTTTTATAGTTTTTTTAATTATATTTAAATATAATTTATATTAAATAAAATGTTATATAGTCCAATCAAATAGTATTTCATATATCTATGGTATATTATAAAGTATTTAACAAAAATTCTTAAAAACTATTTTTTATGCACGAAGTACTGCTTTATAAAAATTATATTATCAAACGATAAATAAATTATTTCGTTATT